AATTGTGAAGAAGGAAAAGAAAGTGGACATGGATTGGAAGCTTATGAAAAACTTTCAAAGTCTCCTAATGGTGAGCCTCGGCGACTTTTTGTGGACACAGTGAATTTTAAGGTTCGGAAGGACTCGTGGAAGCTATTGAAGCTGGAAAAGGTGGTGATGGTGGAAAGGGTGGAGATGGAGGAAAGAATGGTGATGGCGGAAGAGGAGGAGATGGAGGAAATGGTCATTATGGCGTACAATCTGTTCTAGTTGGTTCTGGTGGACATGAAGGGAATGGCGGAAATGGTGGAAATGGAGGACACGGAGGCAATGGCGGAAATGGAGGCCATGGCGGAAATGGAGGAAATGGTGGCCATGGAGGCCATGGTGGTGATGGAGGCCGTGGAGGCGACGGTGGAAATGGAGGACACGGAGGCAATGGCGGAAATGGAGGCCATGGCGGAAATGGAGGAAATGGTGGCCATGGAGGCCATGGTGGTGATGGAGGCCGTGGAGGCGACGGTGGAAATGGAGGACACGGAGGCAATGGCGGAAATGGAGGCCATGGCGGAAATGGAGGAAATGGTGGCCATGGAGGCCATGGTGGTGATGGAGGCCGTGGAGGCGACGGTGGAAATGGAGGAGACTCTGGAAAAGGTGGTGGAAACGGCGGAAATGGAGGCAATGGAGGCAACGGGCACTTTCAGCTAGAAGCTACAGCACTTTTGGACGACGCCGGGCGTGGTGGAAATGGAGGTCGTGGAGGCAATGGTGGTAATGGTGGGACTGGAGGAGCTGGAGGAGCCGGCGGATCCGGAGGCAATGGTGGGGACTGCGGAGAATCTGGGCAACCTGGTGAGCCGGGACATGCTGGAAAAGATGGTCAAGGTGGTAGAGGTGGAGCTGGAGGAGCTGGAGGAGCGGGTGGAGCCGGTGGAAACTGTGAGAATGGATCCGGACGTGGTAAATAACGTTTTGGTTTCATAACCTTGCTTTTTTCTGTCTAATAAAAGTTTCTTTCTCAACATCTCCAATCACACTGATAACACTTACTCCTCTCTCATTCCATTTTTAACCAACATGTTATTGCTCATTTCAGTGATTCAAATGGGTTTGTCACTCGAGCTAAGAAACGGAAAAGGTGAGCAGACTACTGTAGGTGAGCTGCTAGCTTTTTTCCAGACAACCTCATGCGTTCTTCTCCTAGAATAGGCAGAGATCATGGTCACGGTGGAAATGGAAATCATGAAAATTCGCATTCCGGAGGAAATGGTGGACCAGGAAAAAATGGTGGACATGGAGGAAATGGAGGACGAGGAGGTCCTGGAGCCAACGGTGGAGATGGTGGTGATGGTGGGAATGGGGGAAAAGGAGGACGCGGTGGAAAAGGTGGAAAAGGTGGACCAGGAGGGGCTGGAGGACATGCGGGACATGATGGACACGATGGGAAGAATGGAAAATGAATTTCTTTTCTTTTTTAATACAAAGTTTTGTTTAATAAAAATGATATTTCCAATTTTCAATGCATTTGTTTCAGTTCAAAAATTAACCCAAAGAAAAGATTTCGCTCCCGGGTGGGCTCGAACCACCAACCTTTCGGTTAACAGCCGAACGCGCTGCCTATTGCGCCACGGAAGCACAACAGGAAACGCTTTCGAGGGATGATAAGAATGGTGGCGTGTTAGAGAGACATAGTTGACGGAAAAACAAAATGAACTTTCCGTTTTGTTTCAAACAATTTTCGAGACTTGAACATTTCAATGGTTCTCAAACGAAAAACTAATAGATTCTAAATTTCTGGTTGATGTTTTTTGGTATACTGTAGTTTATCTAGTATAAATTGAAGTGACTTCCAGAGAAGTTTGTCTAAAATTCATTTGTGGAAATGTTAATTTATCTATTCCATATTTTTTCAAGAATAATGAAAAAGTTAAAAAGTATTTTTCAAAGGAGAAAACTCGGAAATGAAGATACCGTAAACACTCAAATAGAAGGCCATCACAACCGCCAACTTTAAGCACTTATATCTAATTTCATGTAACAGATATCAAAAAGTGGTCAACTGATAAAATGTTTATCATAATTAGAAAAATATTTTATTAATGAAATGATTTTTGATATCTCTTACAGGAACCGAGATATATGAGCTCAAAGTCGGTGGTCTGGTGACCTTCTATTAGAGTGCCTACGGTATTTAGAATACATTTCAGGATCTCCAATTCATTTTCGATATTGAAGAACTACCAATTTAAAACTTTGACCTCCGATTCGAGGAGTTGATTCATCTGATTTTGTGGAAAATTCGCTAAATGTTTCGATAAATAATCTAGAATCCAGGATTCTGAAAATCGAAATTTTTCTGATGGATCTTGATAATCAGAGTGACGCTCTCAAGATGTTACCATATACTGATCTAAATTTTATTGATGAAGTCACATTAGTCAATGGGAGATATTATGATAATATTAAAGCTTTGAAAATCGATGAGATTGAGAAACTGAGATACCGAGGAAGGGCAGAGAATGTGAATGTAATTGGATTTTGATATAAGGAAGGTTTTTTTGAAATTTTTGATGAGATTGAGTAACTGGAACAACCGAGAAGGGCAGAGAATGAGATTTCGTAATTTTCTTATAATTATAAATTGTCGTAATTTTCTTATAATTATAGAAAAAAATAGTATAATTATTTTTAAAAAAATTTCAATAATTATAAATTGAAAATTATTACAAATTATGTCTTAAATTTATTCGGCGTTGATAAGATTGTGTCCATTTCACTCTTTTCCATTTCAATTAGCTCATATTGATCCTCTGTGAATCTTTGGAAAATAAATGTTTTCTTATCAATGAATTGAACTCGGAGCATGCTTCGAAGATTGTCTGATGTTTTCTTTTTGTATCTGAAGTACCAGATTTGTGTGTTTCCTTCTGTTTTCCGTGGTTTTCCAAATAAAGTCAAGAATCGCCTTTGGTCTCGAATCGCCATTATGGTGAATTCCAGGATTTCAAAGATAATCAGCTTGAGGGCGGCCTGTAAATGTCGAATTTCTGAATTTCTGAATATTCGAATTTTGAAGTTCCGAACTTATGAGTTTTCTAGAATTTTTTAACTTTTAGAAATTTAGGATTCCCAAAAAAATGATTGTCAATTCGAAGCAAAATCTAGCATGTTTCGAAAATATTCACTCACCGCTCTCAACTCCATCAGCTCATGTGTCGAAACCGATTCAATATCAAATCTGCCCATCGGTATATGATAAAAGTTTTTGAGCGAATTCCGAACCGCAAATCCGTTTAAATAAACTTCATACGTCCCTTTCCAATGATCCGAGTTCATAATTCTCTCAATCGGATGAAATCTTTGCTCACTCTCGTCGTCCAACCAAATCGTTGTCAAAGTTTCCGACTGAAGTTTGTTCAAAATTTTCATAATCGGAGTCTCATTGATAATTCCACTGTACCAAAACTGGTCGGCTTTTAGTATCACATGTTGTCCATGAATATGATTATCAAGACCATGCATAAGGTGATCCACAAGTTGTTCACAGATTGTTGTCCGGCACTCTTCGTTGAAAGCCAATGTCAACTCCTTGATACGGGACTGCTGATTCTGCAGAATAAGTCCCAAATCATGTCCAGCAATTGTTGTCATATCTCTTCGCTCTATTGTTCGTATTCCTCCATTATGTGCCACTGTGCAATGGTTTTCCCCACTTTGATTGTAAATTATATCGAAGTCTTCTTCTGGAGTTTGAAGTCGAACATAAATCTGATTTGCCGATGTTGCGTGGACCAGAACATGGGTTAGTTCATGGTCGAATTGATTCGTTACATGGAAGTGTCGTAATGAGGCAGATGTTCGCTTCAAGCTTTCTCTGAAAAAATGTGGACTTCAACTATAGCAATCTTCACTTTTTTTTTATTTAGGTAAAAATTCAAAGTGGCGAGAATAGTGCCCTATTATAGGTACAAGGAGGGCTAAAATTTAATACCTTTCTTTAATTTATGAACATTTTCAAAATTCTATGAAAAATTTCAAAAAAATTTGCGCTTTTTTGTTCAGAAATCGACATAACAAATCAAATTACTCACTTTTCTTTCAAACCACAATGATCGAATATTTTCCTCAATGGTCTGTCCGGCAATGAATCTAAGCTTGCAGGTGTATAAGGCATCTGAAAAATGAATCTAAGAGCATGAGCTAAATATTATGAAAACAGAAAAAAAAGGAAGAATTGATTTGTTTCTCATTTCATCCGTCCCGCCGTATGGCGACAACACAACAAGAAAGTAACAAAAGAGTTTTGGAAATGAAGAGAGTGTCAGAGAAAAAGAGGAGTGTCTTGGAGAGGGCGAAAAGTAGACGTAGACGTATGTGAAGCTGTGTGTATGGGATATTTTGGCATGAGGAAAAAGAGAAAACAGCATTGAAAAGAAGAGGGTGGGTAGAGAAGCACAGATACGCGCTTGGTATGGAAGTGAGAGAGAAGAGTTTGCGTGGAGCAACGGGAGATGAATCCAAAAATGGAAACGATTGAAAAATTGGCAGGTTAACGACACTAAACTACATTCAGTCAATGTACCGTAAATCCTGTAATATAAAGGCCCTCACACTGTCAAGTTTGAGTTAAATTATCTCGATTCCGATGTAAGACATTGACAAAGTGTCAACAGATAAAATGTTTGTGATACTATGATGAACAATTTATTGGTTGACAACTTTTTATATCTCTAACGATAGTTCTATAACCGAACGTACTCCATTTATTGAGCCTCCATGATTGCAACAATGACATGGAGTTGTCGTCGAGTAGGCCTGTGCCAATTTTTTGACTAGTGCTGGCATTCTGGATAACAAATTTTTTCTATTTCTTGACAATTGTAAACCGCAGTGTTAGTTTTATATTTTTCAGGGCGTCATAATGAATAAAACCGAAAGCCAGACACCAAACAGTCACCATAACCTCTTTTTGGCAAATTTCAGGCTTTGTAAGATGTTGCATCTTCTGGCTTTTGACCAGATATGGCGCTGATTGCATTTTGTTGTAGTATAGAGTCCATGTTTCTTTATACGCCACAATTGGATCCAAAAAATGATCATTTTTCTGTCGTATGAGATGATCTCACAAACTAGAGTAACGTTGCAATTTCTGGCGATCGTTCAATTCATGAGAGAGCTATTTATCTAGTTTTCTAGTCTTCTCTTTTTCTTATTTACGTCTCAATTTTGTTCCGGTAGAGACTCCAAGCACTGCCAAAAGTTCCCTGACGGTTGATCTCGGATACCCCTTCCACCATACTTCAGTATTCTTCTCACTACCTTTTTCTCTTCGAGGGATGCATTTCCACATGTGAATTTTGTGAACCATCGTTGTACTGTTTTTCTGTTAGCACTTCTTTCTGTGGAAGCATGGTTGATATTTTCAGTTGTCTCGGTTGCATTTCGGCCGAGCATGGAGTCGTATAAAAATAAGCGAAAAAGTACACCTTTTCCATAATTTCTCCTCGATTAACTGAGGGCATTATGATACACGTTAGATAGAGATTTATGACGACTTGATTAGGTGTATGAGAAACAAAAAAAATTTGACATTAGAATGAACCATCGCAGAGAAAATGGCGCACGAAAAAAAACGATATTATTTATGGAACACCCTAATACTACAGGTTTTACGGAAATGTGATAAATTAGTCGAGAAACTCTAAACGCGCATTTTCTGGAAGTTCCAGTCAGTTCGGATCATGTTTAGAAGAGATAAACCGGAGACACATACCTTTAATTGAACACCACACTTTCAGTTTTGAGCAAGTTTTTTTCTGCACATCGAAAATATTTCAACTGACAAACCCTTCTGATATTATGATTAAAAATTTGTCAGTTGAGAACTTTCGTATACCGTAAACACTCTAATAGAACGTCACCCGTTCGTCAAACTCGAGCCCATGTATCTCATTTTCTGTGAGAGATGCCAAAAGTGATTAACTAATAAAATGTTGCTGATATCAAGATAAACTTTTTATCAGCTAACAACTTTTTGATACCTTTCAAAAAAAGTGAGATACATAGGCTCAGAGTGGGCGTTCCGGGTGGCGTTCTATTTGAGTGTTTACGGTATCTTGAACAGGAACCGAGAAGTTAATTCAAACTTGACAATATGGGGCCCTTATATTACAGGTCTACGGTATACTTTTATAACTGGAGAGAATACCTGTATGTAACATACTGCAACTAGAAATCAAGTTTTCCGAAACGCGGAAAACATTTTTAGAATCAAAGGATCAAAATCCTTTGGACCTCAAACGTGCAGATTGTAGGATCACAAACCAAACGGTCGCTTTCCTCAATCGCACTGTCTGGAAAATTTAATTAATTTTTACATGTGATTTCTTTGCCTAATCAGAAAACCACTGAATAAAAATTTTCTGTCAGTCAAACGAAACTTTTTTCCTGCCAGTAAAAAAGCATGAAATTCGCTTCTGACAAACCAGCAGTTGTCTATCTTGGACTAGTTTTTGGGGGTTTAATCATTGCTTTTCTATATTGCATCTTCCCAATTTTTGTACAAGTTTATCGCTCGAATCGGGAAAATCATAAAGCAGTGAGGGTGCTATTTTTGGAATTAGTTATTATTCAGATTTTTATTGTTTTTTCATCCATTATATCCAATTATCTATCAAATATATCGAGCGTTATGGTTTTTCTATAAGGTTGGAAGGAAAGTAACTGTCCATTTTTTAATTCGCGAATAACACAAAAATAAGAATTATCCAAGATTGACAGGATGCACCGTCGTGGTCCACGATATGCTGTCAACACTCAGGTAACTTGTGGATTCCATCCCTCCAAAAACAAGCTGGCCGCGAGTCAAAGTATTCCTAAAGTGCCGTTTTTATCTCATCGATAGTGCAAAGATATTTTCCCTCCAGATGACGTTGCATATCTCCGAATAACGAATAATGAAAGAACCAAGTCTGGAGTTTAAGGAATGTGGAGAGCCGTTCATTCAAAGCGGCTTAAGACTGAATTACCTTTGCTTAAATAAGACGAGATCCTATGTTCCACGGGAAGTTGAGTAAGACCTAGACCACTTTATCTGGACGGTTTTTCTTTACGCCCCCTCAAACTACTGATTTGGCCCTTTCATTATTGGTTGCTAGGAAATATGTAACGTCATCCGGAGGGAAAATACTTAACACTGTAAATAAGATAAAATTTGGACTGAAAAAATTCTTTGAGTCGCAGCCAACTGGCTTTTGGAGGGTTGGTATCCACAAGTTACCTGAATGTTGTCAGCACGAACCACAACAGTGCATACTGTCAATTTTGGATAATTCTTATTTTTGTGTTATTCACGAATTAAAAAATGGACAGTTACATTTTACTTTCTTTCCAACCTTTCCTTCCAACCTAATATATAACTGTAATATTTCCTTTTCTGGTAGAAACGTTTGACATTGAATTTTCCGGAACGTGAGATTTTTGCACCCTAATTTTTCGAGCCTTATTTGAATTCAGAGTTACTGTGGTTCGTGCATCTGCGTTTGTCTTTCCTGTCTATTTTGTATTCATATATTTCCAACGTTGTCATTCGTTCAAGCTGGCATTATTGGCTTTTCAAAACTTTTTGAAACGTATGTTTCAATCATCTAATTCTTTTTTTCTGACTCCAAAATTTTCACACCAATCTTCAAATGTGATTTATACATGTTCCCTTATTTTGATTATTCACCAAGCGTTTGCATTACAATTTCAGTCATTCTACCGGACCGGGAAAATTTTCAGAGTTTGTTTTAAAAATTTTTAGGAATTTAAAAACTAATCAATGTCAGAATTATTATCTTTCACTCAATACCAATCTGCTAGTTGCTACTTTTTTAAACATTGTTATTTTTATTGAAAACAAATTGAGGCCTGTCAAATAACCCGACCTACTTCACACATGTATATTTTACCAAAACGTCGCAATTGCCGGTTTCAAATTGGTAAATTTTAAAAAAAACTGAATTTTCTCCAAAAAAAAACTGTTATATAATTTCAGCTTCATGTCTGGGTCCTATTTTTTATTGGTGATGATGGAGAGGCAATGCGAAATGTAAGAAAAACTTTGGCGACCACTTTCACCCCATTCACCTTGGTTTCCTAAAATATCGAAAAATTGTTAACTGATAAAATACATTTCAAGCTACGATAAATATTTCGTCAAATGACATTTTTTTTGTTATCTTTCACATGGACAAAGATAACTGGCGTCAAAGTAGACGGTTAGAAAACCCGTCTATTAAAGGTTATAGATTTGTTAATCTACGTTTTTGCAGTACATGATTATATCAATCGGTTCGGATTCAATGACTTGTGTGATTTTTGTACAAGTCTCGTACCTGATTGTTTATAGACACAAAATTCGTAATTTGAAATCTGGTAATTTGTTCAGTGCAGCTTTCGAACGAGGAAGGATCAAACCACGGGAATCTATTCAAACCTTGTCATCCGTTCGTTTTTGAATGTTTTTGTTGATTTTTTTAAAATTACCGCGAAATGAATAAATTATTTTAAAATCACATTTCTCAAAAGTTATAGTTTGCATGATTTTGGATATATTCAAAAAACAGCAATTAGCTCAAAATACAGTATTTTTTTTTGAATATTATAAAAAAATTCCCAAACATTGGAGGAAATCAAAATTTTAAGTGATTTAGACATCTTGTGAGTATAAATAGCATACCACCTGTGAAATCTATTGGAGATTGCGATCGCGTATTTCAACGGGCCACTCTGTAATGTTTCCTACGAGTTCAACCCTTTCAAGAGCATCTATAAGCAAACGTATAGGGGTTTTTCCAATATAAAGGTCCCAAGAAATTTGAGGTGACCCTTAAAAAAGAGACTTTTGAGTGACCTTCAAACACGTCATATTTCAACTGTCTAACTTGCAATATTAATAACGTATGACGAAATGATGACGGTCAAAAAAAATGACTACGTATCACGGGTCCCGGAACCACAAACGTGCGGATTGTAAGATCACGAACAAGACTGTCGCCGTTTCCTCAATGTCACCTCCTGAAAATTTTAATTAATTTTCACAGGTGATTTTTTTTCACTTAATCGAAAACCATAGGATGAAAAATTATTCTTTCAGTCAAACACATTTCTCTTCCCCAGCTAGTGGAAAAATGGACGTTACGCCTGAAAATGAAAAATTATTACTTCTTGGTCTAATTTCTGGTACTTTAATTACTGTTTTCCTATATTGTATCTTCCCAGTTTTTGTACAAGTTTATCGCTCAAATCGGGAAAATTACAAATCGGTGAGGGTATTGTTTTTGGAATTAGTAATTTTTTAGATTTTCAGAATCCATTATATCCAGTTATAAATCAATTATACCGATTTTTATGGGGTTTTCATATATCTGTAATATTACTAATTGTTTATATTTATCTGATGACAAGTAATAAACTTGCACTAGACGGAATGTAAGAATTTTGTTTCGAAATTTTACGAGTATATTTTTAAAACAAATTTAGAGTTTTTATGTTTCTCACTGCTATGATTTGTATTCTCTTCTATATCGTATTGGTATATCTTCTAGTTTACCAGTTATTTAAATTATCAATATTGGCATTTCAAAGCTTTTTAAAGTTCATTTTCCCATCTTCCAATTCATCTTTTCTGTATCCAAAATTTTCAAAAAACGCGTCAAATATGATTTATATACTTTTTTTGATGTTACTTGCCTACCAATCGTATTCATTAATGTCCCAGCCATTCTACCAGACGGGAGAAATGTTCAGAGTTTGTTTGAATACTTTATTTTTGAAATTAGAAGAAAGTTTGATTTCAGACTTTTTACCTTCCTCTCAATGCGATTCTGCTAGTTGCTACTTTCTTGAACATTATCATTTTTATTAAAAACGAATTGAGACCTGTCAAAAAACCAGATCCACTTCAGAAATGGATGTTTTTCCAAACCGTGTTGATCAGTGGCTTCAAACTGGTATAACTTAAAACTTATGGTTTAAAAAACCCGTTGAAATATTTCAGCTTCATTTCTGGGTTCCATTTTTCATTGGGGATGGTGGCAAAGCAATGCAACATGTGAGGAAACTTTTCCATTATTATAACCCCTTTCATAGCAGAGCCTCTTTTTTTTGGCGCAATTTGTCTCGGTTTCTATAAGAAAGATAACTGATAAGAGGCCCTTTTAATAGAGGCTTTGAAATAATTTTATCAATTTTTTCAGTATATAATCATATCAATTGGATCGGATATATTGACTTGTGTCATGTTTGTACAAGTCTCCTATCTTATTGTTTATAGACACAAAATTCGTGATTTGAAATTTGAGGATTTGTTCAGTTCAGCTTTCTCCCAACAAGGAAGAATTGAACCACGGGAATCTATTCAGAGTTTATCATCGATTCGATTCTAATTTTCACGTTTTTTGACATATAAATTTTCAATGTGAACCGAATAAATAATGATGCACATATTGTTTTTATTTGGACGTCTAGAATGATGGCCGAACTTACCCATGAAAAATTCATAGGACATTAGGCTTGGTGGCCTAACTTTCCCATCATGGATTTCCTAGACCACGAATATTTTTACCCTAGAAATGATCTGATGTTCACCTGGTGTGTTTTTTAGGTAGTTTTAACATGGTGGCCTAACTTTCGCAAGTTGAGTTTTCTAGGTCACCATGTAAAATTTGCCTAGAAAACATACCAGATGAATATCTGACCACTTCTAGGCCAAAAAAGTTGGTGGCCTAGAAAACTCAACTTGCAAAAGTCAGGTCACAATGGGAAAATGACCTAGAAAACACACCAGATGAATATCTGACCATTTCTAAGCCAAAAAAGTTGGTGGACTAGAAACTGAACTTGCAAAAGTTAGACCACCTTGTTAAATTAACCTAAAAACACACCAGATGAATATTAGATCATTTTCAACTCGGCTGTCGGCTTGCAAATTCTGTACGGAAGTTGAGGGGGATTCGACTTTTGGACGGATTTTGATCAGATTTTGGTCAGAAGATGCCCACTGACAGCAGTGGTCAGATTTTGGCCGGAATTTAAAGGCGCTGCGTGTTAAGAGGTCGAAAGCCAACCGGTAATTTGTCGGATCTTGGTCGGCTTCCCACAATGTCTTGGCCGGAATCTGACCAAGCTCCGGCCAGAAGTAACCGGCGACGCCTGGGAAGTCAAAAAGTTTGGTGGCCTAGAAAATTCATTTTGTGAAAATCAGGCCACCAAGTCAGATGGTCTAGAAAAAAAAACGATACGATTGTGTCATTCGGGAAATGTTATTGAACGTTACGGCTCATTTTTACATTTCTGATCTTTCGCACAAGAAATCTTGAGAACAGGTGCAAATAAAATAACATTTTCATAAGCCATCAGCAGTTTTATGAACAACTGAAAAATTGAATTTAGCAGTTATTTTATTTATAAAAAACACGAAAATCGGACTTTCTTCAACTGTAATAATATTGGAAATGTCACTCTACTATCAAGATATCCTCCATACATACGAAATTCCCAATCATTTCTCTTTGAAATTTTTTGTGGCATCTTTTTCTTTCATTCTTCTTCTTCTTCAATTTTGCTGCTTCTCAATTTTATTAGTTATGGTTTTTCCGTTTTATATGAAAGTGTACAGGGAGAATCGCAAAAAAGAGCAATCGGTGAGTAAGAAATTTTGTCAAGTATTCGGAAAAAAATTGTAGACACTAATTTATCCAATTACTAATCATTTCTATCGAGCTATTTGCTATTTTTATTTCCATTTTGGAATATTTTTTTCCATAATTTTCCCATCAGCTGTGAGTTTTTCCGGGCTATCCATGTAAGCAATTCAATAATTCAGCTCTTTTCAATAGTTTTGAATTTTCAGTTTAAAAATAATTTTTCATCCAATGTCTGTGGCCTTTCTTGGTATTCCAATCACAATTTTTCTACAAGTCCATCATTTTTTAATATTCTTCCTTTCAATTCAAAAACTTCTATTAGTATTTTTTCCAAATGCTGAATCTAAGTTTGAAACATTTTCCAAAAAATCATCGATAAAACTAATTTATTTTATATTCATCTTTGGCAACCTGGGATTCTTAATCTGGGCCTTACGGAGACCAGACAACGTCGAATTTTCAAATTATTGGTTTTATTCGGTACATTATCTAGAACAGTGTCTCAATTATCTTTTTTAATTCCAGATTTATTACATCTTCTTAAACATTTTAATCTATGCATCTGCAATTTTACACATCCCAATTGTTTTAAAAATTAGAAACAATTCTCATTTACCCTCAGTAATTAAGAATCAGCCTCAAAACTATGTTCTGTATCAGACAATTTTTATGCCCTGCTTCAAAACAGTGAGTTTTTGGTATTTTTTCAATAAATATCACACAATATTTTTAGCCTCAAATCTACGCAGTCTCATTTGTTTACTGGTATCATATGTCGCTTGACTTTGTAAGTTCATTCTAATAGAAGACACCCCTATACTTTCACTTTTAGCTCAATTATCTCCATTTCTATAAGAGATAACAAAAATATGTTAACTGAAAAATTATTCATAATAATATCAGCAATATTTTATCAGTTGACACTTTTTTGATGTCTTTTCTACAAATGGAGAGGAATGAGCCTAAAGTTCAATTATAGAATGACCTTCTATTAGAGTGATTAATGTAAATTTGAAAAATTACAGTACATTTTGCTCTGCCTAATTTTTGATGTCTTATCTACTCCGTTATTGATTCAAATTTCATATTTATGCTGTAATCGAAGAAATGTGAAATCTTTGAGAGCAAATCTCAGTTTTGGAGTAAAAATTAAATCGATTTTTACAACTGATAATTCGAAAATTGGACCTATGACCGTTTCAAACTAGCGAGTGCATGTTGTCTATTTTTTTGTGGAATAAACTTTTGATAATTGCAAATTTTCATAAATTTTAACATGAATTTATGTCTTGTAAGTTTCTGTAGTTCATTTACATTTACATAATTTCCGGATTTCTCATGATTACGAATTTTTCTGATAAATTACACTTTTGATTTTGAAATGTTAATTTGATCAGATTCCGGCTCATTGATAAATTTTTGATTTTCCTAGCATTAAACCTTTCGACTGCACCTGCAAATCAAGATTATCAAATTATCAGTTCTGTGAACAGCTGAAAAAGTTACATTAAGCAATTAATTGGAATATCAAAACTCAAAAAATCAGGATTTCGCCGAATGTAATAATGTGGCACCAAAAAAGAGATGCTCTTTCAAATTTTCCCTGGGAATTTATTCTATCATTTTTCTTCTTCTTCAGTTCGCTTGCTTCTTGATTATGTTAAATGTCATTTTTCCATTTTATGTGAATCGGAAAAAAGAGCAGTTGGTGAGTGAAAAAATTTGGAATTCAAAAAATCTGAATTTTCATTTCAGACATCATTTTATGCAATTACTAATCATTTCTATCGAGCGATTTGCTTTTTTATTCGTATTTTGGAATTTCGTTGTTCATAATTCTCCCATTAGTTTTGATTCTTTCCGGGCAATCTTTGAAAAACAAATTTCATATTGAAAAAAGAAAATAAAAAATTGAACTTTCAGTCTTAGCATCATTTCACATCCGTTCTCAATTACTATTCTCGGTATTCCAATTACAATTTTTTTGCAAGTCCATCATTTTTTGATATTCTTCCTGTTGGTTCAAAAGTTATTTTTAGTATTTTTTCCGAATTCAGAATCTTATTTTAAAAAGTTTTCTGGAAAATCGATGATCAAAATTATTTATCCTATCTTCATCCTTGGTAATGTGGGATTCTTTATCTGGGCGGCAGAGAGACCAAAAACCGTTAAATTCTCAAGTTATTCATTTTATGCGGTATGTTATCAAAAATGGGGACCAAAATAATATTTGGAATCATTTTTCAGGTTTAATACTTCTTCCTGAACACTTTAATCTATGCATCTGCATTTTTACACATCCCAATTGTCTTAAAAATTAAAACCAATTCTCATTTACCCTCAGTAATCAAATATCAACCACAAAATTATGTTCTGTATCAGACAGTTTTTATGGCCTGCTTCAAAACTGTGAGTTTTCCTTTTTCACTAAATTTTATTTACAAATTTAGCCACAAATCTACGCAATTGCCTATATCTACTGGCATCAAGTGTCACTGAACTTGGTAGGTTATTGAATTTTTTTAATCAGAACAACACTCTAACAGAACACTTGCACTGTGTGCTCAATTACCACCATTTCTATAAAAGAGAACAAAAAGCTGCCAACTGATAATTTATTCATCAAAATATCAGTAATGTTTTATCAGTTAACAGCTTTTTGTTATCTCATGTAGGAATGGAGATAATTGAGCTCTCAGTTCAAGTATAGGGTTGCCTTCTATTATAGTGACTATGGTATATTTCAAAAAATTACAGTATATTTTGGTCTGCCTGATTTTCGATATCATATCTACTCCGTTGTTAATTCAAATTTCATATTTATGCTGTAATCGAATAAATGTGGAATCGCTCAAAGCGAGTCTCGATTTTGGACGAAAAATCAAATCGATTTTTATAACCGATAATTCGAAAATCGGCCCTATGACAATTGAAAACTGACAAATTTCTGTTTTCCCTCTTTGTTTTTGAAAAATAAACTTCTTTTCTTTTTTTGACGATTTCATAATCATGTTAATGAGCAGGTGAAAATTCCTATTATTCCTATAGCAGGTGAAAATTCCTATAACTTGGTTTACACCCTAGTTTTGTTGATAAATACATGCATTTTATGATGTTCAGAGAATTTTTTGCTGATATTGAAATCTTTTTCTGATTTACAAGAAAATCACAAGATAAATCAAAGTGTGCGAAAATTTAGGTTTTATTGTTTGCTCAGATTTTCTTATGAGCCCTTTAAACTTGTTCAAATCAAATTCTCAACATTTTCCAGAAATGTCCCTAAAACTTGGATGCATCCCAGTTCGTGGCTTCCTTCTCGTCGTATCATTTCTCGGAATGCTCTCTGCACCTTCATTGCTCCTCGTTAAGCCATTATCAACAACTTCTCATATCGCTAGTGTCATCACTTTGGCATTCAATGGTTGTCTATTCGGCGGAGCTCTCAAGTACAACAACAAGGCTCTCAAATGTTGTCAAAATGTTCTCGTCTGCTTGATTGTATTTTATTTTATTCTGCTTTGTTTGACCCCAATGACTTTTTCGAGATTTATGGCTTATGGATACGATCAATTTCTGAGATATGAACCTGTTGAAGACTTGGCGAATCGTTTGAAAAGGACTGTGGGTGATGATGAATTCTCACACGGTAAAGAAACTAAAATATCTGTGAAAGAAGAAACTGCAATCTCTGAAGAAGAGGAATCTGAAATCTCTGAAGAAGAAGAATCTGGAATCTCTGAGGAGGAAGAGTCGAGCGAAAAATTCCTGTTTTGAGAGAAAGCCAGAAAGGAAGCGGAGGCGAAATTCATATTGGGATTGCTCGTGGGAGTCAGCATTGTGGTTGTGATCATCATCCATGGATTATGTGAGTTTCCCGACATTTTCTTTACAGATTTTTTTTCCTTTTCAGATAATTACATGCTGGTTGTCATGGTCCAGCGCCTTCGGAAGTTCATTGCCACTAGAAGCGATAAAGATGGTTTTGATGGAGTCTAGAATTGGAACGTTGAAATTGAAGAGCTATCAAATATTTTCATGATTAATCTCAATTTTTTGAAAAGAAGTTTGAATCGGTTTTTGGAGCATAATAAACTTTCAACATGTTTTTCCTCTGGGTTTTTTCCAATGTCTTCCTAGTAAACTTTTAAGCTTAAAATGATTATAGTTTGACATCATAATTTGGTAAAACTGAAATTTCAAAATGATTTCATTTTTGTTTAAAGTTCAGTGGAGAGTTTCAAAAAATTATGATTATGTTATGATCAAAAGTTCTTCGCAGCTAGAAAGGAAATTGAAAATGAGGTTTCAGACGTGTTTTCCTATCATACGACACATTCGTTTGCCATAGCAACCAGCGGAAAACATAACGACTCTTCAAGAACTCACAAGGCTGAAAATAATACGATGTCGCATATTTTTTCTCTCATTTTTCTTTCCTAGATGAACTTTTCAGTTCCATTCCGAGAACCAATTATTATTCCTTGAATCTTGCATCAGCTCAGACAAGACTACCTATCGGTGATTTTGTTTTTCTGAATTTTCACAAAACAGAAAATGAAATGTTTGAATTTTTTAAAATTCTCAATTTTTCGAATATTCAAAATTTTCGCAATAATCTTTTTTCCTAGAAACAAAGAAAGCAGTCCGATGTAAATCTAGCAATTTCCGTATCCTTTTTCATTTGATAATTTTTTCTCGAAATTTTCATAATTTCTAATTCCGTACTTCATCTCCCGCTTGAGATACCGTAAAACCTGTAACTTCTAACTTTAAGCCAATTTTTTCTCAGTTTCCGTCGGAGATATGAAGAAGTTGTTAACTGATAAACTGTTTACCATAATATCAGAAATGTTGTGTCAGTTGACACATTTTAGATATCATTTTTAGGAATCGAGATAGTTGAGCAGAAAACAAACCAACTCTCAGAATATCACGAGGCTGAAATTCATTATTTCTCGCAATGTTTTTCTTCTTTTATTTCTATTTCATAGATGAATTTTCTTCGTTCTGTTTTCAGAGCCAATCATTATTTCCTGAATTATTCATTCATTTTAATGAGAGCTTAGAAAAGACCCTGTTGGTCATCTTGTTATCCGTTTTTGCTCACTTTTTTAAGCGGGTTTTGTTCATTCGGAAAAATCCTTTTCACTTTGATTTTTCAAAATGATATCAATAGTTATAATTTTAAATCAATTTTTCCGAGCATTAAAAATAATTGAATGGTTTTCAAAGAAGTTATGGGTATTTTCTCAAATATGAACTGCGGGATTTGTCGATTTTTCTCCAAATCAAAGTTTTGGAATCCTGAGCTTTTATTATTAAAAATTCAAGAAACCGAGTTTCGAATGTTCCCGAGTTCGAGCTAAATTTCCAAGCTAAAAAAAGAACCTGGTCTGGTTGAGTAGTGCCATTTATTTCTATCATTTTCCAAATTTCAATTTAGATTATAGGCTAGGCTCGCACTATTTCTTATAGAAACTTGAAAACTTAACTCAACCAACTTTTTTTTTTCAAAAACTCTTGAACTCTTGAAACTTGGACATGGTTTTTCGATTTCAAAATTTGGATTATAGAAATGTTTGGAAAGCTGGCTGAAACTGTTTGGCAATGTTTTATAAAATTATTAACTTCATAAGTATTGAAAAAAAATCTATGAAAACAATATTATTGAGAATAAAATGACTTCATGGAACATTCAAAAGAGCTCCTCCATTGGATGCTCTATTTCTGTGGCACAAAAACTTTTTGAAAATATCCCAAATGCGTACAGTATCCAGAATGAATAATAGTGGAAGATAAATTTCTGGGAAATAATTGGCTATCGCTAAAACTTTCATCAAGGTGACAGTGCCTTTAGCTGAAAACGTAAATATATGAGATAAGTTTATAAAATCATTAACTAGCGCTTCATAAATAAAATTAACAGTCTGAAAATAAAAAAAATGTATTTCCCAGGAACCTCATGTTTTCTCGTACCAAATATAAAACGGCTGTAATCAGAATGTGTGAAAATACTCGATTTTTAGTCCGTTTCCTCAATACTGAAACATTGATAACAGTCCTATTTTCTTTCCGTAAATGTTTAAATAAAGAAATGTAGCAGATAACAGATCCAAATGAAAATACATTGAATACTCGATTAATGGACTATAAGTTGTGTGTGTTTGTTTGTTTTTTTTTTATTTTGTAAGTTTTTTTTCGGGTTCATCCCAGAAGAGCGGTCCCAACAATACGAGAGTGGTCCCATAAGCCTAAGACACTTAAGAAGGATTGAACCAAGACAAGGTTTATAGGTTTTTTGGGACCGTGGTCGGAGAGATGAGGCCGGAGTACCTCTTTGGGACCTCTTGTAGACTTTTTTTTGACTCACCAGTCTGAATCCTTGATTTTCGTCTGAATATTTATTTGGTACTGTGTCAATAAATCCGAAAAATATAAAATACCGTCTGCTGATTTTAGAAGTAAAAATCATCGCCATAGCACCAGCAATTGAAATAATAACGCTGAAAATTACAGGGAGAATCCACTTATCGAAAATTCTCGAATTCCATTTCTCGGAAACAAAACATAAACATCGGTTCAGTGATAAACAAAATGTGATAGTGACTGAGAATAGGTTACTACAGTAATCCACGTATACGATACATTTGAGAGATTTACTGATAAATGTGAATCTGGATTCCTTGTACGTATTATTAAAGCTATTGAGGAAAACACGATCCGAACGGAAACAGATATCGAGAAAATGAGAATCATTGAGTAAAATGGACCCTGAAATTTTTATCATTGATTTTTGAAGTTTGTAAAATCCCACTTTGTTTGATTGAATTTTATTGCACAGAAAAATGATACAAGCCAGCTGAATGAATTAATTGATACTATTCACCATGTTATGCAACGGAATAATCATATCATACTGGGCTGCACTCGTTCGTGTGGTGATTAGTTCACCGATCAGTGAATCCACCATTTGCACTGATGAAGCTGGACTTGTATTTATGACCCACTGGTAATAGATCGATGGGTACGAAAGAACAATTTTATTGAGAAATTGAAATATGGGGAGAGGTTTTTGTAGGCACTAATGTAGAGCCAGTTTTGATTCGTGGTAGTGCAACCTGATATTTATGCGTGGGGAAATGCTAAATTGTGTCAAACTTTAGCGAAACCCTCTTTGACATTATTTTTCAGCCTTAAATTTTTATAAGGATTTCGTGTAAAACAAAATTTTCGAAAACCCCCTATTTAAATTTTTGATTTCAATGAAATCTTACGGAAATTGAATTGAAAGCTGAAAAATGTCAAAAAAATGTTGCTGAAGTTTGACATTCTTCAGCAAAAATGGCTCTACTTTGGTGCCTCAAAAAATCTCTCCCCCGTTGAATTCTCAACAAAATGGTTGTTTCCTACACGACGTGTATTTATAACTGGACTTGAGATCCAAGTCATTCCTCATCGATAGATTCACTGACCGGTAAATCATCATTCGATACACCTCGAGCTAAATCTTTATGCTAGAAAAAGGAACCACCAAATCGGTTGTTTCCAATTTGGTTCTTTTTGAAACATGACACAAAGAGATTTCGATTTTCTGTTCGATAAAAAATCTGAACTTATTGTTTTTTAGCGCAAAACGGGATACAACTATTAAAGACTAACGAAAATTCAACTGTTTTTGACTCAACTCTGAAGTGCTGATTCTTCAATGTGTGTTTTGTTTTTCAATATCACGAAAACCACCGAATCAGAATCATCAACAAACTCCGGTTGTCTGTTTATGTAGATTTATTGAACATTTTATTGAAATGGTGACAGTTTTTTTTCATAATTCATTGAACAGTCTAGTTTGAGTCGATCAGGATTTTCAGGATGTTACATAACTGGAATTCACGCCAAAAACTGATTTCCATCGATTTCCTTTCTTGCTGCAATGAACTTCCGGAGACGTTTGACCATAACATACACCATATAGTTCACTGAAAACCGGAAAAAATTCCATGAATTTACTTTTTGTTACTTACGTAATGCAGAGAAGATAAGCATGAATACAACGACTTCTCCCGCAACAAATCCTCCCAAGAACTTTTCTGCAGCTGTTTTCTTCTTGTCTTCTACTGGGATCTGTCTGCCAATTTCTAGTAAAGTTCTCTCATCAAAAATGTCCATTAGTTGTTTCTTGGTGAGATCATCTACGTCTGCACTAATTTCCAATGGGACTCCAGAAATTCCAACTTTCGTATGTTTGTAATAATCCGATGCAATGAAACTTGTGACGAACACTGGCATAATGCAAAGCATGACACACGAGAGGATCATTGAAAAAACCATAAACTTTTGGGAATATCCGAGAGTATCGTCGTTGTACTTGAGAGCTCCATAGAATAGACAAACGTTGAATGCAACACCCAATGCAGTGATGACAACAGTTCTGATAGTTGGTGGCTCAGTAACAATATAGGAAAGTGCTCCGAATAGTCCGAGGACTGAGATGAAGATCAGGAATGGACGAATTGGGATGCATCCGAGTTTCGGAGATTTCAATTGAATGGTTCGGTCAGGCAACATACCTGGAAAATAGAAAGGATTGAGGGAATTTTCGAAAAAAAACCATTATTTCAAAAATTGAGAAAAGAAAAAAGTATAGATTAGAAGAGATGTGGTGGAAACTGGGAAGTAATTCGAAACTCCAGAATTTCGAAGCGAACATTTCGTAAGCTATAGTTTTATTTCGTTTCTGATTTTCCATAGATTCTAGGGTTTTCTTTTTGTTTTTTTCCCCGAGTTGTCTTAAACTTACAATTAGACTAATTTCAAAAATTGAAAATAACCGATTTCAGAATTTTCCAGAAATTGAATTTACGATTTTTTCAATTCCTATTTTTGAAATTCCAAAAAATTCAGAACCTTAAAAAATCTAATTTTCACTGTATTAGGAATTTGGAAATTGAAAAGTAATTTGAAAAATTCCAAACTCTCCAAAATTCGGTAAAATTTTAAAAAACTGAAAACATTTTTGAAATTTCGGCAGATTCAGAAATTCCAAATTTTTAATTTCAGAGAAATCTGAACGATTTGAAAAAAGGTGATTTTTTTATGATGATTTTTTTATGAGCAAAAAAACGCTCCTGTAATGTGATGTCGAAACAGAAGAATTAAGAGAAATAACTAAACTACCAATGAGTAATTTTCCTTCGTCAATAAAATGAATAAAAAATCGGCCCCAAACACGAACCAGTTTCATTTTTGAAGTAAGAATAAGAAAAAATTGAGAGAAATCGCAACATGCCTTGCCACCTTGGCCGCCTATTAACCCAGGAATTCTTCTAGGAGCTCTTTCTCCAAGTTCTCTTCTGTATGCACTATCTTATTTCTACACACTATTTCCCGCAATCTCTTCTTTCTCTTTCTGCGCCTCACACTATTTGGAAATACACGGAACAATGTGGTGAGTTCAATGACATGTGACTAGAGTAACGTGTCGACACAAAAATCGATACGATTCGAGTCGACCAGTCGGACTATTGAAGTCGATAAAAATCGTGTCGACTGACACCAGAAACGACACAGTGTCGACACAGAGTCGACACGACACGACTCTGTGTCGACTCGTGTCGACACAACCTCGAGTCGACTCTGAGTCGTGTCGTGTCGACTCTGAGTCGACTCGCGTCGACTCGTGTCGTGTCGATACGAGTCGACTCGACGCCGGTCTCTTTTCCG